ACCTCGAAGTTGCCCTTTGATGACTTGGTTACAACCCTGACTCACGCCCTTCTCACAAGCCAGTGGGCCCTGAAAACATACCTGGGTCCATCTTGGCGGCCGTATCCTCCAAACAGTATGCAAAACGAAAGCAAAACACAATCAAGCTTTTGCACATTGGGCTGCCGTGTTTATGTGCAATCCTTCAGCCCAAGGGGCCAGTGTCCCACCCCCGGAAGGTCTCCAAATCACCCTCTGTTGAGGGAGCTGAACGTGCATTTGCGCTTCCGGCCGGTTGGGAGTGACGCCAATAGCAGGACCAGAGGTGCCTTAGGTGCCCCTTCAAAGACCAAAGTGTGAGGTGCACCCAAAATCGGTTTTCGAAAGAGCGAGGGGATACAGTATGGCCAATATAAACCTTTGTATATAACTATGTTGGTGTAACCAAATTGCCAGTGGCCAGTGGGTGTGGAGTCTCTCACAACAAACGCCTGTCGTCCATTTGGGGTGGACCTGAACACAAATCTTGAAGGAGGCATTGGAAAGTATGTGTGAGCTACAATCAAACCCGATTGGGTAGATGAAGATTCGGGGACTGTGGACAGTTAGCATGGCAAGGTTTGGATATGCGCCCTTTCGTTTCTTTCCGTTTGGTTTAGATAGAATGTTTGCATGACTTTTGCGTCGGCAAGTTGCCAAAGTCAAAGGCTTTTACCAGACCCTCGCACGGCCAAATGTGAGGTCAAGGGTAACTAAAGCCCAGGCTAGAGTGTCGAATTGTCGGCGCTTAGCGCCCGGCAGTTTGAGGCCGTGGCACACCATTGGCAACGGTACCCTCTAGAGTAGATAATTAATTGCGTACACTTTGTGCATTTGGTGCCCTTTCCTTTCGACGGTGTTTCCTGGTGCCTCATGTTCAGCTTCGAACATGGGGCAAGCTGCAATTCCCCAACCAATTCAACCTTTTGGAGCCAAAAAGGGTTTCCCGCTGATTTCGGTGTTCCCTTCACCGGCAATCTCATCCACCATCAAAAATGGGATTTCCCTCACTCCAAGGTGGTTTCTACCCCTAAACCCCCAAAGTGTGGGGATATCCAGCTAGCGGCCCAACGGGTATAATTCTGGGGATTTATTTGATATTCCCGGCCCCCAAAATGACCATGGGTAGCTTTCAGCAACTTAGAGGGGACTTATCGTCTTTTTCCGCGGTTTTCCCCAATGGTCATATCCCCCGCGTTTTCCCGCCCCGGCCCAATTGGAAGGCCGTCACCGGAGCCCCCGGCGCCTGAGCCACGCCCGTGTGGTGGCGGCCAAGAGGTGGGGTGCAGGGTGCCACGGTGCAGGGTGCATGGAACATGAAGAGATACCTCAACCCCCCCGCGCTTTTGGAAGCCTCAGCTCAGCACAGATGCCTCGGTCTGTCAAGATTGGCGCGGCCCGGAAGTCACGAGTTGTAGCCTCCGGACATATCACTAGAAATCATTATAGCAAGCCACAAGTGATTCTCATAGGCGAAGTATCTGTATCTATATCTAATATCTATATCTATATCCATATCTATAATTTAATTGTAAACGCTGCGCGTTGCCCGCCTCGGCCTAGCCGAGCGCGCAGCGTCTGTGGTTCAACTGCAAGCAGCAGAACTGGTCAAGTGGCGATTCAGGCATGGACAGGTTCTGGCGTCGTTGGACCAATTGATGTCATGGGCCCGCAGGAATCCCCGAGGCAAGGGCAAGGCGATGCACAGGACCAGGAGTGAGTCATGGAGCCAGCAGACACAATGGGTTGGGCCTTGCTTGGGTTGGTTGGTGCAGGGCCTGTGGGCGGGCTGGTGAGCCCTGCTTGGGTGGCCTGAGGCAAGTCTCAGACCAGTCTCAGACATGTCAGGTTGAGACACAGCTGGTTTGTATGACGTCTCCCTTGCTTGGGAAATTTTAGGCAGCCGGACTGCGCTGCGGCCGGCTGGGCGGGCTGGGCATTGCTTGGGTGGTTGCTGGTTGGGCTCTCAGAATGTGAGACACGTCAGGTTCAGACAAGGCTGACGTGCCTTGCTCAGCCTGGCAAGTCTCAAACGTGCTGGTCCTTGGCTGGGCTGGGCCTTGATTGGTGGGTTGCTGGTGTGAGGCTTAACTTGTTGAACCAGAAGTCTTGCAAATTCGCCTTGGCCCCAAAGGAGGCAAGGGCCCCAAAATTTGCGGCTCCTGTGCGGGCCTCGAATTTCGACAAGCATGACCTCCTGCTGGCCAGGCCTGTCTGACGTGTCTGAGACTAGATTCCCTCCTCCTCCTCCTCTTCCTCCTCCTCCTCTCCTCCTCCTAGACAACCTCCAAAGATGCTATGCAAGGGGCATCCTGGACAAGCCCAGGATAAGCCAAGGAGTAAGGGCCGTTTTCTCGGGTTTGACAGGCGCTGGCTTCCCCTTCCCTTTCCTGGACGCTCGCATTTTCCAGCCAGTCCCTGCTTTCCAAAACCAGCTGTTTTTTGACCACAACCAATATTGCTTTGTGGTTTATGCAGCCCAAGAACGAGCAACAAACGGAGTCGGGTCCAACATGCTCCACGCTCCGCTTGAACAACTTTGCAGGTTGCTGGGCCTGGGCAATATCGCGCTTCCCACCGTACAGGCACCGGTGAAGGGCCGATCTCGCTTCAAGGGCGCGATGTCACAACACCCCGATGTAGATTTTGTCATCCCCCTTACTTCTCCGTATTCAAGGAATTTGTGCTATCTGCTTCCTTTTTCTCTTTCTGTTGGGAGGGGTTTCCCTTTAAAATCAGCCAAGTCTTTCGACAAGTATGGAATGTGTGTGGAGAAAGCCTCCTTTTCCGGGCGGGCAGGTGGCATAGATTCCTATTCTGGGAGGCTCGTAAGCGGCATATCAAAAGAGAGGCCTTTTGGTCTTATTTGGCAAGGGGAGCCACAGCCTGGCAAAAGACGCGAGTGAGACCGATGGTTCCAAACCGAAAGAAATTGGCTCTGAATCAATATGGCGTCTCAAAAAGTCACATTCTCCGGACCCTTCATCGTTGGTGTGCTTTTGGTTTCCCTGTAAAACCATCCAACACGGTGGCCCCGATTTTGAGAGACCCCTTCTCCTTTGAAAGCCTGCGCACGACAGGAGATCGATGATGCCCACAGCAACGCCCTGCGCCAGGTGCGAGATGCGGGGGGCCCAAAGCGGCTGATTGATTGCAAGGCATCCAGCGGGTTGATTCCTGTTTTCATTATTCGGAGAGGGCAAACCCCTGTAAAACCGACTACACAGCGATCTCAAAATTGCAATTTGGCCCTCGAGCGGCGAATTTTGCGGTTTATTGAGGCCAGTCCTTTGAGACCAGTTCAACATGGAAGGCCTAATCCTGTGCACGCAGAATGAAAGTTGCAAACTGACGACTTCGCTTGGATTAAGAGGGTTTGGTGCAACAAGATGCCTAGTCTAAGGGCTTGGCCGGCATACAGACCTGGATCATTGTGGTGGACTTGCTTGCTGAGCATCCTTCCCTTTGGCTTCAGCTGGAACGTTATATTTGACTTGTGAGTGAGCAAATAAATCGAAATTGATAGATTCAGACATCGCCATGCGTATGCGCAGCCATGCGCCGGGACCAATGTGATCATTTCCAGTTTGTCATTCTGTGTTTGTTTAACGGTGCGGGTGTAGACTTGACCACGCACGCCCATCTTGGCTGCGGTTGAGTAAGCTGGCGCTGATATTTCATCCCGCGTCAGCTCTGCCGTCTGCCAACACGCACGTTGTCCATCAAAGCCAAGAGTGCAAACCTTGTTGCGCACCTCCCAAAGAGCCGATGTCATGCGTGGGGCGTGTTTGGCCTTGTGTTCCGCAGTTCTCGTGTTTCCAGCCTGTTTGCTGTTCTTTTCATGTACAACGCATGCAGTTCTAAGTTCTGAGCGGCAGCCAAGATTAAATAGTTCCTGAACCGCGGAATTTTCTTCGAAACTTCAAGTTAGCCAATAGACATGCTCTCTGGCGTGAGTGGCACCCCCCCCCCCCGCCCTCCCCCCACAAAATAATAATAATAGGGAAAGCAACCCTTTCCACCCCCCCCCCCCCCACACAGAGAAGGGGGTTTGCGTAGATCTTGATCGTGACACCAACCTATATACACAGGTGTATGCGCACATGTATACACAATAATACATATATATGTATATATAAATGCATATATATATATAGAGATATTGTCTGCCCTTGAAGGGATGATTGGGGACGCTCACCAATTGGCCATTAGATGCAGGGGGGTTCACCAGAATCTTATGGCAAATCAAGAGACAATTCATGTTAACTGTGGCTCATGCACCTAGCCAAGACATATCCCACATCCATCGCTTGGACCTGACATCGACGGGGCCCAAGGTTTCCGGACGTCACGAGGCGATGGGTGGGTCACTGTGAGCTGGATCAGCGGTGCCGGGAGGGTTTGCAACAAATGTTTCGACCATTGGTCGCTGGGGAACCCGAAGGAGAACCCTTTCGGTGTAGACATGTTTAACCAGAAGGGTTGGCCCAACTTTCGCTGGATGGGTCGGGCAATGTGTGATACAGCTTGGACGCAAGCCATGACATGCCTTCACATTGGCAGACTTAACTCACGTTTTGGCCCTTTTGCATCATTTTTTGTGATTCCCTTCATGTTTCCCTTTGGACCGGCAGACAGCTGGCTTTTGGCAGTCGGATCCGTCTGACCAAGATAAGATCAATGGTGGAACTCTGGATAATGGAAAATCCTCCAAACTGGGGACTCTGATGCTTTGTGGCAACACAAGAGGTCCAAGTCAGCTTCCTGCCAAATAAGCCTGGGCGGTATCCCCAACCCCGGAACCTTTACGAGCCTGAAGACACCGACTCCAAAAACTCCCAGCTCCGGAGCCGATTGGCCAGGACACCGTTGTCAACCCCAGTGCCGACGAAGCCGCCCAAAGGGGATCCCGAAATGGATCTTTTTGGTTGACAACCCCCCCCCCAGCCCCCGGCAAGAGAAAGAGACAAGACCAATCTACAATGTTCGCGGTCTCCACCGATTTTGGTTCGCGCATGCCAGGCATGCACCTCACGCTTCGGATGGGATCAGGCGCGGGCTTCGGGAGGTCGAGTCGCAATCCGGGTTTGCTCGGCGGGACCCGAGCTGGGGATATCCAACATTCGAAGAGGGAGCCAAGGAGCGACCAAAAGTTCTGTAGTTTGGAGGCTAGAACCATTGCTTATAAGTGTATTTTTTCCTTTTCTCTTTACCAGGCGCCAAGTTTCGGAATCCTCTTGCTGTTCATCGGGATTTCGGAGCAACGAGGGATGGCCAAGCTCTGTTTGCTCCATTTGCCCAACACAGTTGTTCAGTGGCTACATTTCTCCTTTGGTTTGGTGGGTTTCCTTTCGCCTTTTTTTGGACCAGTCAACTATCTTGATGGTCCTCACCTTCCCATGCCCTCCACATGCCCTCGAAACTCAGCAATGTGTTTCCTCTTATACAAGGAAAGCTGTATGGACCAGAAGCCGCTGACCATTTTGTATTATCCTCAACAGGGGCTAACCATGCATATCAACTACAGACTGGTTATAAAAGCGGTACCATTGAAGATTGGGGGCCAGTTCCAATGGCTCATACACTTTGTTTGGACTTTGCAGTTCGACTAGATCCAGGAAAACCCGATGCATGGGATCGAAGAAATCGTTTATGATTGTGTGCATATAACAACCCAGAACCCATTTGCGACCACCCTACCTTGGGAGGTAGGGTGGAGTCGAGTGCGGAATAAAACTACACCCATATTCAGGCTTTAACAAAAACAAAGTAGATTAGGTTCCACAACTCATGCTGCTCAGGTCTACTCACATGCCCCAAGATGGACATGCTTCAAAAACCGGTGGGGTCATCAATGGTTTTACAGGGGCAACCCACATCGCATGAGGTTTGGTTTCGCTCGGCTTTCGTGAGGCGCAACTCTCCTGGGCCAGCCGCGTGCTGAAGGACGCCGGAGCCCCCAAGCCGGACGTGCGGAGGTTTGAACCCCCCCGCGGCACAACCGTTGTGTTTTGTTCGCTTTTTGCTGGCCCATTTTTGGGGCGGGATTTTGAACGGTTTTGGCGCACTAGATGTTTGGATATGTCCGGACAGGAGTTCGGGGGAAGGAGCACGTATCTTTTGCATTGGACATGAGCCTGTCCCTTGGCAAACCTCGTTTTACTAACTTTCGGATGAATGACCGGCCTTCGGAAGTTGCCGCGCTTTTCTCCTGACATGGACCCCAAGCTTTTCTCCTGTACATTGGTAATCCCTCCAACAGTGGTCTGAATCTCGGCCTAAAAGGGACAAACATGAATCAGGAGTGCATTGTTCATCCGGGGTTCCCAAGAGCTTGCCATCTATCTCAGGAATTGGTTTGAACACAGAAAGCATCCCAGAGCGAAAACCACGAACATCCAGAATTGAGTCTCGCCCCCTTCCCATTCATTTGCTCTTTCGACCTGAGTTGGATCCATGCGGTCGCAGTGGTCATCCACCCCTTACTGCTTCGAAAACGTTCCACGTGTTGCAAGTCTTCCAACAGCTCAGGCTTAGCATGCTACCCTCCCTCCAACAATCACAGAAGTGGACAGAGGGGTTCCTCAAAAGGAAAGTAGTCTTCCAAAACTCGAGGGAGGGTAAGCATGTAGCTGAAAACAAACGTGCTCCTCAAAGGCTGAAGGTCGAAAAGCAACCAAGAAACAGGTTCGACTGAACGACCAAAAATCCACCCCTCAGAAAGCTTTGGTCTAAGTCTGTCTCCGAAACACTGGCCATCGCGTTTCACAGGGCCCCCTCACCTCTGACTGGAGGGCTGCTGAGGAGGTACTGACTGAACCCCGACTTGTCCATCTGGGGTAGCCCACCCATTGGCTGTCTGTCTGGCTCCGTATGGTCCCCTTGAGGGCTTTATCGGGTTCTGTGACCCAAAAGGAAACGCTGTGTAGGTTCCCCTTTGCGAGCGTTTTGATGTGTTCCGTGACCCCAAAAGAAGCCAAGAGGTGTTGGTTTCCGTTGGGCGGGGTTCACGCGAGGCCCACCAGGCAGCCGTGGAGGCGGCAGACCAAGGGTCTCTGCCAGAATGGCTTCAAGAGGACGGGACATCGATTGGTATAGGGTTTCCTTCGGCTTCCTTCGGCTTCCTTAGGGTTCGATCGGTTTCGTTCCATGTCCTTCTGAGTTCTTCGGAGTCCTTCGATGTCCTTCGATGTCCTTCGTGGAATGTTGTTTTCTCAGGCTCATGAGCTTTAAGATTAATCTTCGTAGGAACCTCGCGAAATGGGATCGACTTGTTTTCACAGTTCAAATTGGAGCCTGAGGCGAGATATTGCCGATGGGATAGTCACGGAAGGGACCCGTGAGAGAGTTCGAGGGTTGGAAGTTTGGAGGGTTGGTCCCAAGAGCGAGGTATTGCAGAGCCTCGCCTTCACCGAAACATGCAAGCCCTTTGGTAAGGTGCGAAGAGGAACAGCCCTGCGAACAGCGGTTTCTGAGGGGGTAATGAGGCTTGTTCTGAGCAGCTTTCCAATGATCATCTTCCTTAGTTGCACCAAGTTTCAGTTATACCAGAGTGTTGGGAGCAACACATATGTACCTTGTGTACCTAAAATTTAGGCATCATGACCTCACATGTTTGAAAGGGCCAAAGGGACAGGGGGGTCATTTTAGTGGGGAACCACCCTTCAGACGGTGTTTCAGGTTTGGAAAACCCACAACTTGGGAAGAAGCACTCTTGGAGGGAATTGGTGGCCAAAATCACACATGGTTTGGTTTGAAGGAGCAACCTCTTTTTGCTTACCCTCGCTTCGCAGGTGAGTGACTCATGACTATATATGTATATATGTCTTGCTCCATTCTTGGGGGTAGTGTCTTGAGTGTGGAAATCATCTTCCAAAGGGGACAAAAGCCAGAAGCCCCATTTGAGAGAATGGATGAACCCGTTGGGTAACTTTCAAAATCACCCTGGCCCAATGATAAATTCAACCCCACGATCCATGTATTTGAGTCGTGGAAAGGGGCACCAGGGTTCCTAGTCTAACCGCCCAACATTGCAGTGCCACAATTTAGATCACCAAACTCCGAGGCTCCATGTTCAATCTATGGGGATGAAAGGCCGGCCCAAGAGTTGAACCTCTCGCTGATTGGTTGTGGCGCACTCATCCGTTTCCGAAAAATCTAAAGGCTACTTCGGTAACAAAAGATCGGTACCGGCCAGCCATACGTCTGGGGCCTTCAGTTTGGGTAAAAGCCGACAGCTCAGCTCAGGAGCGCGTCTCGGAGTCGCCCATTATCATTCCCTCGCCCCAGCCCCTGCCGTTGCCAGCGCCCGACCCGTAGACGAAAATGGGCCTGGTCGCCTGGTCGCCTGGTCGCCTGGTCACTGGAGGGTTTGGTAGGAATGAGCTGAGCGGGCGCCTTTGTTTCGTGGCTTGGTTGGGTGCGTTGGCGCTTGCGGGCGCTTGGGCGACTGCGGTCATGGGCGAAAAGGTTCAGAGGCCAAAGGCCCGTTCCTTGGATTCTGTGACTGCGTCGTGCACACGTCGTGCTGACGACAGGCATTGCATTCCGTCGATGGCCTGCCTTGCAAGCTAGAGAGCCCCCAATCACAGGTGCATGTCGCAGGGTAGATAGCTGGACATGTGTGAAAGGCACTACTGTGATGTGAATTGTGTGTGTTCGTATGCACCCAAAAACAGAACGAGTTTTTCCTGGGCGGCCTGTGAGCGGGCTCCGCTCTCCGCCAGATCTCCCATCGGCATCTCGAATACATGTCAATGTGCACTCCCGGATCTTCCTTTCCGCATGCTGAGCTGCCATTCAGATTTCCATGTCTCAGCCAGGGAACCAAAAGCGCGATCCGTGGCAATCCGTGCCAAGCTGGCGCAAGAAGAGGAAGCGGTTCGAATCACCGGATACTGTCACCTCCAAAACCATTTTATATGTTCAATTAACCAATATGGAACAGAGGTGGAAAATATGACTTTCTGCGGATTTCAGATGTGGGGGTTCACCATAGAAAAATGCCGCGTCAGTCATCGCGCAACTAGCTGCTTTTCCAGGGCGGCCGAGGCCGCCAAGGGTTCGGGTTTCTTTCAGAGATTTGCAGCGCTTATCTCGGATTCCGATTGGGTGAAGTTCTTATGAAATGGCAGCTTGGCGAGCAGAATTTGCCATAGAAACCAGGCCTCTGGGCCTTCTGGCGAAGGTTCACCAGGGTTTGCTGGGGGCTCTTGCCGAAGAGCCCAGTCGCGCAGGGAGATGGCGAGCCGCACGTCCCTTGTGGATTCGCCGCCGAAGGGGCATGGGACCTTCTGAAGCATGATATAGCTATGACATGCGGCGATGTTTAGTAGGGAACCACCTAAAAAGTTGTTGGTGGACACGAATCCGCACCTGAATGATGTCCACGAAAGCTTGATGCCCATGTTTGAGCAGAACGGATATACTGTGATATACTTGTGTCCAGACAGATTTGGTTTGTTTCTCTGATGGCTCCGTCAAGAGAGCCATGCCTTGGCGCTGGGTATTTGAAGCGCCGATGGGCGGAATGGGCACAGGGGGCCTACCGGGTCTCTCCGGGTTTCTTTGAAGAACCCATCTTCCGGTGCTATCTCTCCCGCAATGTATTGATTTTGAGGGGATGGTGTGAAACCTGGCGATGCAGAACCAATCACACTTTCCACACCGCCCGACTCTCTCCTATGGTATTTTTGGATATGCAGTTGATTTGCCGCGGAGGTGCAGCCAGGCCGGTTCTCGGCTACAGTTGATGCGGAGGTTGGTTGAGCAACACGTTTTCTCAGAAAGGTGTTGGTTTGCCAGATCAAGAAAGGCCGCATGATGCAGGTGTCGAATTCTTGCTGCTTGTGTAAAACCCACAAATCCGAGCCAGCAAACCAGACGATCAGTCGAGGTTTCTGAACGTTGACTGCACCTTTGCCTGGCTCTTGGGAGTGTCACCATCATGCGAGAACGCCACTGGTCAATGCTAGTTGTGCCATGCAGCTGAGCGGATGGCCGCTGGGAATTCTTCTAAGGTCGATGCGGCCGAGTCTTCTGTATGTCGCACTGCGCAAGGTTCCCCCTTTTAAGCTCCGAGCTGTGCGTAGTCGGGCCGCTTCGGATAGATGCGGCCCGGTGCTTGTTTGCAAGCGCCAGCAAAGAACCCCCTGTGGACAATGCTGCTATTGGGAGATCTTTGGCCAAAACGCGGCGCCTTTGTAGTCGGGGATGAGGCCATGTTGCAGTGGCAAGTGAAGTGACAGGCCTGCTTGCAAGTTCTTGTGAAAATCGGCTGAATGAAGTCCAAAATTGAACCCCTGCCTGTCCTTTCTCCTCGTTTCGGCCAGGGCGCCGTTTACGTCACGACGTTTTCGGGGCGGGCGCCTGGAGGCCTCGCCGGACAGTGGGTTCTGATGTGTAACCTCTCAGAGTGACCAAAGGGGAACGCCTCAAAACCACCGTGGATACATTGGAGCATGTCACAGCAATGGACCCAGTACTGCGGTGCTTGGAGGGTTCTGCTGGAGTGCTGGATGAGGTTTTGGTGGTTTGCCGGATTATCACTGGTTAAGAAGCAGCGAGGATCTTGTGATCTCATGCTGGTGTACCCTCAACTCATGTAGATCCACTGCCGCAAGGATCCATTGGCTGGAAGGGGGTTGGCAGACCTGGACACTACCCATTTCCCGCGGAGCCAAGGGAACAATCCTTGAAACACACAGAGAACGGCTGCCGCAACTGCTTACTGTGGTGGTAACTGGGATCCACAGGGCAACGTTCCAGGAGTTCGCGGAAAACATCCCCGGAGGCTAAGAGGGCACCCCTGGAGTCTCGAGGCAAACCGTGTTGAGTTTTGAATCAAAGGGTTGCGCCATTGGATTTGCTCATTGGGGGCATAGGATTATGTGCAGGTGCGGGGGGACTGTCGCTACAAAAGAGTCTCCAGGGTGCATGACGTCAGAAGCTGGTGATTCTTCTGGGTGCTGACTCACATGAAATTGCTTGAAGGCCATATTTTGTCATGGTCACAAGTTTTGGCTCCTGATACCCACCTGCCAGGATCATGGAAGTATGCCTGCTGAACGCTGAGAACGTTCCAGATGGGCGCCTCACTCAGCCTGTGGTCTCAACCAAGCAGATGGGACGAGATGTCTCAAAATAGGACCGTCGAGTGTTGAGTGATGCCCGCATGTAAGATGAATGTATATGGGCATACATCTACCTTGAAGCGAGAGTCAAGGCTAGATCTGTTCTTGCCAGCCGCCGTTCTTTTCGAACAAGCATTTGAGAAGATTTCTTGGCCCTGTAAGTCCATTTCCCTGTATAGTAGGTAACCAACCTTCAAATCCAAAAGGCACGTGACATGGCCTGCTACCTGCTTTTGCGGGAACTGGGTGGAACCAGCACGGTGGAGGTAAGCAGCAATTGCGTAGCCCTCGATTACAGGACACGGAGATGGTGAGCAACCGATGCTGGTCCAGGGATTTTGGGAGAACAACCGGACCGATTTTCAAGCTTCCAAATTTTCCCGAAGGGAGGCTACCCACAGGAACGTTGTCATGTTTCTAGGGCAGGGGGACACCCCAGATGGGTCACTAGCCGGGTTCCCAAACGGAGAACCGGGACCGGGTGGATGTCATCGCCTTTGAAGGGAGTCGCAGCAGGGGCTTCGACATCCTGCGCCAGGGGTCCCTTTTTGCCGAAGAGGTGATCCTTGTGTGCCACCTTTGAAACGGGTCACCAAAATGGGGTCGCTACTTAAGGGTCTGGGTACGTAGTAAGTGGTTAGTTGGTCCTACAACACACTTGGAGGACTTACCGCCATGGCTTTGCTTTGCTGACGTGCCCCTGCCCCTTCAAGTATTTTGTCAACCACTTTCCAAGCCACTACCTCCAAACCACTACCCCCAGGGTAGTACAGTTGGTATATGCTCTTTGCATAGTGGTTAGGAACATCCTATTGGGCCCGTGGTATAAGTTGAGGGCTGGTGGAAATCATAGAGAGAAGCTGTGCCACCCATTTTCTGAGGGAAGCAATTGAGACTAAAGGAAGCCACCGGGAACACAAACCAATGAAAACCCTTAGGCTGGCTTACAGGGCAACCAACCGGAGAACCGAAGTTTATTGGGGTCCAAATCTATATTTGACACATATCCCAGTATCTCTGGGCAATTTCCTTGCTGGGCCGGTCAGGTGCCTGCTGTCCATCAGCGCTGGCGGGTCCAGGAGACAGGCCGGGTCGGCCAAAGGTTTCTTCGAAAATCCTAATCCTGCGGTGTCCCATGTCGTTGCCTTTGTGTTGGGACCACCGGTTTTTCCTTTGTTATTGCCATCAGCTTTGACCAAGTTTGAGCATCATTTGGCTGGGGTTCAACGCAAAAGCTTTTGCAGTTCAATGATTCCTAGTCCTATTAGTCACTTTGATACCTGGCTGGGTGGTGAGAAGAATCACGCCGGACAGTACAACCATTTTGGTAGAAGTGTTGCTCACTTGACGCGATCTTGTGAAACAAGTTTGCCCGGCACAGCCGGCGCATGTTTTATTCCACTTGAGCCATGGCTTTCACCAGATCTGGGTTTATGAGCCGATCTTTCTAGGTCCGGGGGACTCTTTAAGTGAGAAAGTAGTTACAGGACGGCCCACTGAACGTTCTCACAGGGGTGAGGTTCCACAATGGGATGTGTACGTGTTCCAGGCGGGTTTGTCATGAAATTACATTGGGAACCCCGGAAATGGCATCGGTGTTCTTTGTGGTTTTCCGCCCACCAAATGGGGTGTCTTATGAAAACACAAACCACCCATGTTCCTGTGGCCTTTCGGGCGGGTCAACCTGTGGAGTTTGCCTCCGATCCCCCTTGACCAAAAACAAGCTCCGTTCCTGTATCTGAAATTGCAACCACTCTTTAAGGGGTGATATTACTTGGTGGTTCCCCGTCCGGTTCCTTAGGTTTTTATTTTTTGAGTTGGTTTAGCGGTAGTCTTCCCATTTAACCCACTAAAAGTTGAACACTTTGAGCAGGGGATCAGTTAAGCGGGCAACCCACAAATGAGATACGGCCGGTAACCTTAGAGCCATCCTAGGAGCCCAAAGGTCAGCCCGAGCGCCCGAGCGCGAATCCGCGCGAATCCGCGCGCATCCTTCGAAGTTGAGGCGCCGCTGGCAGCCAAGCAGAAGTTCGCCTTCAGCAACTCCTCCTTCGCGGCGGCGGTGGCCGCCGGCGGCAGTGGCCTCAAGGCGATTCGGCAATTCGGCGAAGCTTCGGAACGGGAGGGGTCGTAGCTGATCGGACCCCCCAGGGTGGTTCCCTTTCAAACAAAAACAACAACAAGCAAAAGGCACACCCAACTTATGTCATAATGATTTGGAGCCCTAGCAAGGGGAGCCATTGCAGACTCCACGCCCCCCATGCTATATCTGCCCGGACACCCGGTGGGTTGCGAACCCTTTTTTGCCGACTTCTTCTGGAAGGGGGCAAATGCCTTTTTCCTCATTCCGCTACAAATAAACGGAAGGAACCCAAACGGGGGGGCCCTTTCCTCTCCTGGCTTCACTGCGAAGCCAGAGAAATGCCTTCGGAGAGGTAGGATCAATTGGGTTGAACGTTACATTTGAGGGACAGGGCCATTTCTGGGTTCCCTTCAGGGCACCTTGAAGTGGTCTCGTTTTGAGGGTTTTCAAATTTTACTTTGGAGCCACACATTTAGAGGGTAGTTGGAGTCCAGTTGGAGGATTACACTTTAATGGACCTCAGTATATGTCCCTAATCGGGCGGTTGAACCATCACCTTTTGGGCCTTGGGGTTTGAGTCTCCTTTGAATGGCGTGATGGGCATCCCAAGCTTGTCGGATTTGTTGGGGTGATCAACAGCTTGGATTTGTCTTGGGCCGGTTGAGAATAGAGTATGCATGCAGTTGTTCAGTTTGGTTCTCCATCAATTTTGCAGATAGGACAAGTGTGGGAAGATTTTGAAGCTGGCCTGAAGATTGCTGCGCCCCGAGGTGCTGTTGCTTCCTCTGGACAAGAGTTTAGGGATTTTGAAAAGGCAGGTCGAATGGCTGGAAACTCTGAAGCCACGTCAGCACTTTTGGAGGATTCCCTAGTGACACACACACAATTACCATGGGGTTCCAGCAAAGCAAGCAGGGAATCCAGAAGGAGCTGTGGATGTGGGGGGTTGAGCTGAAATGAACTGAACACATGCGTCTTTGCGTTCAAATTTGATCAATGAGATTGCAAGCTGGATAAGATACCCTACAGGTATTGATGACTTTTCGTGGATCCAAGGGTACTCAAAGAGTGCCAGAGTACTAAAAGGGGTTGGAGAAACGGGTGGAATCCGCGAAGAGTGGATTTTCTAGATACCCACCAAAATCACGCCTACGCCCCGCCTGAAATCAGCTCCCACAAGGCAGGGTGGTGCCCTCAAAAGTGGTCAACGTCCCAACAACCTAGGAGAATGGGAGGTGTCTGGTTGAGCATGCGGAGTCGACCCTTACAAATGCCCACACGGAACTGCGCCTTCGGCTCCCTGTCTAACATCGTCATTCAAAAGCGGTTTGTGCATCAAGACATGTGCTTGAGGGCAATGGGGCTCTCCCCAAAAGTTATGTTATATTTAGCGTAGGTTGACTAAAATGAAACCGAAACTGAACACACAGTGGACGGGCAAGAACTGTTTCACAACAGTTGGGACTGAACCGGGGCTCACCACCAATCCCAACTGCTGCCTGGATTTCATTGTCATCCGCTATATGTTTTGTTTCGTACCTCGGAGCTTCAGGTGGCCTTTGACGGGGCGTTTGGATTGGTGGTTTGGGGATGTGAACAAATTATTGTTGTTGAGGATGGCTTTTCGGGTGGTTGAAAGGCAAACAACCCATTTTCGGGTCATATTGGCATGATGTTTAATTCGGAACCCGCCTTTGGACATCAGAAAAAGGAGGACGTGTTTGTTTGTTTTCCTAATTTTGAGACAGCTATGGAACCACCCGGCTGGAGCTGAGAGTGAGAAAACCGAGCCATCGAAACTCGGCAGGTGGACCTGCTCTCTGTGAAGGGCAGCGCGTGCCGGGGAACCCTGAGTCGAGAGAACCCGACTTCTTGTTTAAAACAAATATATGTGTTTTTTTGGTGTGTGTGTGTGTGTGTGCCTTTTCTTGGGGCGGGTGTGTGTGTGTGTACTTTCTTGGGACGATTGGGCTTTCTTGATGATATCCTTGGTCAGTTTACCCCAACTGGGGGCTTGGATTTGCTCCGAATCCCTATTTTGCCACCAACGAAATCCGGGGTCCAGATGTTCTGATGGCAATGCGAAAATCCGATCTGCCCAGCTGAAAGCTTTGCGTTCGGCTCTGGAGGAGCTAGACCTGGGCTAAGTATATATCGGATTCACCCCTGGAGACTTGCAATGAGAGGTGTTTTGTTCCTTGTACAAGAGGTTCCTTGGAAAATCGATGCCGCACCAAATCTCAAATGACTGGAAGCAATGGGAGCTTCCTTCAGACTGTAGGAGAGCTTACGCTGGAACAGGTAACCAGCTGTTTTCCATTGGGGCTTTCAAGGCTGGTGGGGACATGGACAAATAGACTGACTTGTTCGTGTTTGGGGCCTCCTTCTTCCCCCGAACAAATCCCTGGAATCACTGCGCCTGCTGAAGGCGGTGTTTGGAAATCCACAAGATCAGGTCCTTAATTGGTGGTTTGGATTGGTGCGATTTAACCCCCTGGTTCTCGTGGGTTCTCTCCCATCTACAAACATGGAACCTCACAGGAGGGTCTGGAAGACTCTTTTCCTTTAGAAGGGACCTTTTGGTGGGTTCCATGTTAGTCGACCAGCGCGTCAATTGGGAAACCGCCCCCTTCCAAACCCTCTCCTCACATCCAAACCACCAACTGGGTCTGGGTTTTTGAGGCCAGCCATGTTGGGGTCAGGCGTGGGCTCTTCTGAGCTGCTGCCTGGCCTGCAAAAGGCCGGAATTCCACGCGACTCGGGTGGGTGGTCTATGTTTGTTGTTGATCCGTCTTGTTGTCAAAGGGGTTTTGCACATCTCTTTTTGTATCCCCAATTGGAGATGTGATTTTCCCATCATCTCCTCAACCTTGTCTAAATCGCATCCCCGGTAAATTGGCCTTGGGGATGTTTCAAGGGATGTGGAAAAGATCACGGATGTTTGGGTTAGCTATGTTTTTTGTTATTTTTCGGGGGGAGGGGAAAATCTATGTTTGTAGTTCAATCAGGCAGTTTGGGTAATCTATGTTTGTTGTTTATCAGCATGTTTGGGTAGTCTATGTGTGTTGTTTATCCGTCAGGTTGGGCCAATCTATGTTTGTTGTTTATCGGTATGTTTGGATAGTCTATGTTTGTTGTTGATCAGTTTGTTTGAGTAATCTATGGTTGCTGTTGTTGTTTGGGCAATCTATGGGTTCAAAAGGACCCATTCTAAGGGTTGGTTCCTAATTCTCGACACCCATGGTTGTTTTCGGGAACAACCCCATTTTTTGCAGGGGTTTCCGTTTTTGAAGAGACGGATGTGAAGGATCCCGAACAGAAGGGCATGTACAGCTCCTTTGAACACAGCTTCTGACTGGGGTCTGCCAAACAGGCCTTTGGCGCGGGCTCAGCAGGAGAAGGCGCGTCGCTTCTCCTTGCGCATTTTATTTTAGCCACAAGCGAGTCACATGGGCCATGGTGGGGCTTTCAGCTAAGCTAGATATTGAAGAAAGAAGTCTGCCGGGGGGCGGGGGGAACTATGTCGTATGTGCCTGTCCTTGGCTTAAACACTTGCACTCAAAGAAACAAGGCGTTTCTTCAATACCAAGAAATCACCTTTTCAAGATGAGCTTTCTCAACTTGCAGACATCTTGGAGAGCATGCCGCGCTGGGTTTCAGCTGTGGCAATGCCCACGTAGGATGTATGTATGCAAACCCCCAGAATAGTGGGATCCCGGTGGGGGTCGGTTTCATGTTGGTTATGTGAGCAGGAGCTGGGACTAACTACGGCTGATTCCCTAGAATATGTTCAATTTGAAACGAGTTGAACATCTCACTGTTTGCGTTTGCACCTGCAATATGTGGTGAATCAACTGCTCACTGTGGAAAATCAGCTCCAACGTCTGTGAGGGGAACGCTTTTTGCCACAAGCGCGCAACGGCACCCAGATAGTAGCTAAAGCCAAGTTCCACAACCATGACTCGATCACTTGTGCCATAACCTCATTTCCTGAGTTCATGGAATTTATACTTTTTGGGAAGACTATTTTAGAGGCATTTTGGCCAGTCCACTCAAGAAGTGAAGAACTAAAACCAGGATCAGAACTGGTCACAGGGCAACCTTTTTTGCTTGCCTGGTTCTGTACCTGGGTCCTCATCACAAGGGTGCTCGGCACCTGTGCCGGGGGGGGGGTTCGGCATCGGTTTTGAAAGTTGCCAGTTTCGATGCAAACCTTTGCCCGAATTGGTACAGTCAGACAGATTCCGAAAAGTATGCCCGGGCAGCGCACAAGCGGACCAAAAAAATGTTGGTTTCCGGCCAGCTCGGGTGGCCCTGTAGATGGCGCAGTTAGTAGGTGACGTGGGCCGCATTTTTCCCAGCTTTCACAGGGTTTCATCCGGCGAGATTTTGTCTATCGTATTTGTTTCACCCCCCGAGTTCTTGGACTTTGTACTTTTCTGGGAAGATCATTTCGACAAGGACTTGGATTGAATTGGATTGGACGGACGGACGGATGGATGGATGGATGGATGGACGGATGGGAAGACCATTTTAGTGGCAAGCAAACAGTTTGGACATTCAATAGTACACACACAAACACATTCTGCAACGAATAAACCCTTGTTCAGGTGGCTGAGACAAGGCCAATCCACAATCCTAAGTAAAGCTGGACTTGTTGTCCGAAACACACGTGTGCGGTGCCGGATTTCCTTCACTTGAGTTTGGAGAGTCTTGGTGGCAAACTTGCTGGCTCTCAGGGAATGAGTTGAAATGACCCCAAGAAAGACCAAACTGGTGGCTTCCCCTGAAAGTTTTACCAGCAAGTAAAGCAAAAGGACTCAGATGCAAAAAGGAAGCCGCAAGTGGGTGGTCTTATGTAGAGGGCACCCCTTTTGTTGAAAGGGACGCCAACCGGGCCAACGGTTGGCCATCTTGGGGGGTTTGCGGTTTGCTTCCTAAAAGGAAGCACACCCATATGGGTTTCCGAAGCCCTGTCCGCTAGTGGAATCTCGGACATCGGACACCCCAAGGTGGGGATTCCTTCCAAGCTGCAAGGGGAAAACCCCCGGATTCCCCACCAAACGTGCCATGGTCCTTTGGGACGCGTGGATCATGGAATCGACCCGCAGGCACCGGCCATGAGCTGGAGGCTGGGATTCCACGGTTTTGGGTTGGAGTTGACGCAGATTGGTTGACAGAAGTGGTTTGGTTTGGTTTGGTTTGGTTTCTTGGTTGGTTGCCTGGTTGGCTGGCTGGTTGGTCGGGCAGGTCGACAGGTTGAAATCGAACATTGTTGGTTGGTATAGGTCCGCTTTGGTCTTAGCCGGTTTGGAGCATTATCCTCTTAAACGCATCTGGTGTGTTCCAAGCTGGGTTAACCGCAATCCATTTGTGGATTGATCTGTTGGGAAAAGGACCACTCGTTCTTCTGCGAATGTGCAGAGATCAGGCCCTCTTTTGGTTGGAAACCCAATGGACGGCACTGGCCAGGAAGTAGGTGAGAGTGAGCGAGACCGTTGCTGAAGTGTGAACTTTGGGTTCCTTCAGTGCTTGGGTACTAAATCGCCCATGAACTGGCAACATGTCACACCAGGAAACCAAGATGGATCATTGCTCCATTTTTTTAGACCCCCTATCTCGCAACTCAATCCCCATAGCCCATAGCCCATAGCCCATGGCCCGTAGTCATAGCCCAGCCGCCATTTGCCTTCCAGGTCGTGATGCCCCAGGCTGGTGACGAGGCCGGATTCAAGGGGACATGGACCCATGGTTTCGGAATCTGCCCACAGGATCTGTGTCCATTCCAAACCATTGCATTACACGGAGTTGCATTGCATTACTTTACTTTACATTGCTATACACACCATGGCATACACTACTTGCAGTACATACATTGCACATGTTACATACACTACATACATCACATGACACACACACACACATGACACACAAACATGACATACATGACATATACCTGACATACATGGCATGACACGCATGACATACATTACATACATACACAGAATTGGACGCATGCGTGCTTGTATGGATGCATGTGTGCGTAGGTGTGTATATATATATAATGTATGAATGTTTTTGTGACGTATGTAACATATGCCATATGAATGACAGTGTAATGTATGAAATGTATGTAATGCACGTCATGTAATGTATGTAGTGCATGTATGGCATGTACTGTATGTCATGTCTAGCATGTGTGTGATGCATGGCAACGCATGTCATGTATCATGAAAGACAGACAGAGAACAGCAGAGACAGAGACAGAGACAGAGACAGAAACACAAACAGACAGACAGACACAGACACGGACAGAGACAGACAGACACAGACACGGACAGTGACAGACAGACACTGACAGACAGACAGACAGACAGCCAGACAGCCAGCAAGCCAGACAGACACACAGAGAGACAGACAGAGAGACAGAGACAAAGACCCAGACCCAGACACAGACACAGATTCAGACACAGAGTCAGACAGACATATACATACATGGATGCGTGCACACCTATGCATACCTACAGGCAATCTGTTTTGTGGTTTTGAAGGAAAGCCAAAAAGACAACCAGACAGCCCACTATTTCGGTGGGTCCGATACGCTGGCCCAAGATGGCCAACTCAGGAGCTGATGAAGCTGAACTTTTTCATCAAGCCGGCGCCTGAGAAAACCAACCGCCCTGGCTGGGCGTGACGAGAGATGTGTGTAAACAACCAGCCCGAAGCGATGCGGCCCGGTTCAAAGGCAAACCAAACGGAGGTTGTTAAAACACAACATGTCTAAGCATGTTTAAACAGCCGCAACGATGCGTCTCAGAGGTGGTTGGCAACTTTGAAGAGCTGTGAAAAGGATACATGTTCGCCATGTTGATAATCGCACTCACCAGCTGAACTTGCATTTTGTCGGGAGCCCTGACTTAGCCCGGTTGGGTAGAAACTATAGTAAGGGCTGTATGGATGTGTCTTTTTGACGGATAAACCCTTTGGGGTTGTTGAAAAGGGACGCCAAAATGAAAGGCTATTTTCTGGGTTTCTCATTTGGAGACAAACCCAAATAAACCTTTTGAAGCCAGACTGCTAGATCCAAACGTCAATGGCATTGTGATGATACTGTTTGGCATAGTTCCAAATCGGGGTGTGGGAAATCCCCCGTGTACAGGTTCATCGAAGATACCCAACCCATGGGAAGATACCCTCTGCAATTTTTTGGCATGTCAAGCTACCCCTCAAAAATTAGATTATTACATGCCATGGAACACACTCACTTTTGGGGTGCTCTCATTTGAGACACCCATTTTGGGTGACTTTTGCTCATCTTGACCGCCCGAAGGAATCGGACAAGATGTTTGTCGCTCCGAGGCCTGCAAAGAAAGAGGACCGAGAGCACGACATGATACCGCCGTCAGGCCTGCCACATGAAAACACATCAGCCCTGGATCAACCTCTCTCGGGATGGCAATGTTGGGCAGTTTCAAGATAGATGCTTCTAGACCACCAATTTGATGTAAGCTTGCTTGGCAGTTTATACCCCCTTGTAAAAGTGGTAGACAGCCTTCCATATCTCCAAATCCCGTACCTGGAAAATTCATCCGTCATCCCGAGCCGAAGAGTGAACATGAGAGCTTGGGTTTGGGACCGTCACGCCTTTGTGGAAGACCATTTGGGGACTGCGCACAGGTGTTGCTTAAAGTTGGGGGCGGGGGGCCTCCTTGCATGGCGAGGTTTCCTTGTTTCGCTTCAGTTAAGAAAGAGGGTTGCCTATCGCCACGAGTGCGAAAGCACCCAGTTCCGTAAGGTCCGCAAAGGAAACCAACCCAACTCCGATTTCCCGGAACCCCAATTTGGTCTTTGGCGAGCGGTTAGCCGCCAGGGTTAGCCTGCTGGGTGGCCGAAGGCCCAATAATTTACTCCAGAGGAATTTCCTGCTTGGGAATGTAAAGTGGTCGGGGTTCCATGGAATTGTAGAGGGAGTTGTTTGTTAGTTTGTTGCCCAACTCCAGTTTGCCAAGAGTGGAATCTGAATCTCCTTTTTTGTGCCAATCCAGCTCCCACGAAAGCGAAAGTGTGCCAGGCCCCAGCACGTTTCGAGAATCAGAGGCCGGGCCCTTGGGTAAGTGATGACAGCAGATTGGGGCAATGCGCCCTATGTGGATGTGTCTTGTTTGGGAGTTATCCGTGTTGAGCTTGTTTAAGCGCAAATGGAAACCACCCAAAATGTGTTGTGGCTTCCATATGCCACTTTGAGAGCCCCACACGGAAGCCGACAGAACGCCCCTTCAAAGGGAAAGTTGTTTTCCGGGGGGCTTCCGTCAGCCATGTTGGGAGTGTGAACCAGGAATGGGACTGCCGGCATTTGGTGTCCTTGTGAACAGGGGCTTTCTCCTAGCGGCGCAAGAAACCACTTATTTTGCTATTTGGAGACAATCCCAGACGGGGATCTCCAAACATGGATCTTTCTTGGGTGGTTGCTTTGAGGGAAATCAAGGGAACCACCCAGTTGAGGGTTCCAACTGATCTGATCCAATTCTGACGAACTCACCGGCACGATTTGATTGTCCCTCTCGTGATTTCTATTCAGGTTGATGAGCTACATCACCTTACCGACTAACATTCTAAGGGTTGATTCCCCATTCTCTTCACCCATTCTGCCTTTGAAAGGGACCCCCAAACGTCAGGTTCCATGTGAGGGGGGTGGGAGGGTGCACCCACCAAAGAATACACGGACCCCAGCTGCTGAGCTTCTCACGCGGACGCCTGGAGAGGTGATGCCCACGGATTATTTGAAGCAGTCGGTGCTGCTGGACAGCGGGCCTTTTCGGTGTTTTTTCCTTCAAAGATGGTAAACACAAATTAAAACAACGACAAACAACATGTTTTCTTCTCGGAAAGGTGGGAAGGGAGTTTCTCCAACCCCCGTTTGGGTTGGTATTTGAATGAAAATCAAAAGGAAGCCAGCAATTTTAGGGACCCTTGTTTTGAGGTACACCCTGAAAGAAAGAGGTTTTCAAAAACCCAAACGGGTTTGCCTCATGCAAGCACCCCCGAAGAGGCATTTTCCATTGGTGTCCTTGTCAAGAACCCAGATTTCCAATGAATAGATTGCGCCAACTTTGATTCAATGGTGATGTGGGACAGAATAGGGGGGGAATCCTGTGTCAAAGAGCAGGAGTTGACCTGTAAACCTTGCCCCAGGGAAGCCTGAGATGTGGCCATCACCCCCCCCCTCCAAATAGCGAAACAAAAGAGAAAGAAAAGGACAGCACAAACACACCATCATGGTTCGCCTTACGGGACCGGGGACCAACGCTTGCCCCTTTAAAGCCAACTACTCAAAACACGTCACCGTGTAAATATTTTTTCCAATGGCCACTGAGGGTTTGGGTTTGTTGTGTGGAGTAGCTTGACTGAAAGGATTCTCCTTCGGGGATCCGTCGGACACCTTACAACTCCTTTCCGTTCGGACAATATGTTTGCCAAACCGTCAGCAACCAAGCTTCGGTCACTCCACGAGTATATTGTTGGATCGACCCCTTACAAACAAAGTCCCCCATGTTTCATGACCCTTCAACCCGCCAATAGAGAATACGCGACCCCTTCAAGGGCTCCTAATCTAAGCCCGGTTGGTGTTCCCAACAGCCCCGCAATCCCCTGGAACCCACTGGAAGCCTTTTTGAAAGCTCATCGACCCTTTTGCTGTCAGCTGTTTGGATTACCCAACAGTCGAAACGGACCCGGGCAGAGCTCAGTGTGGAGGACTAAGGCTAGGGTTGCGAGTGCTCAGATCGAGGCCTTGGGTTTTCTGCACGCGCGAAAGTCTAGTCTATTGGGTTGCATTGGATCAGCCACTAGCAATCAGGTGATCATTTGGCTTGTTCAAAGTCAATCCTGAATCCTTGTGCCAGATCGTGGTGAAACCCCTTGTGGTGTTTGTGGGATTTTGAGGGTGCCCCGTGCTTGGTCGTTTTGAAAACCGAAGGGAAACCATTCATTTAGACTCACAGTGGCTACACAGGTGTGTGCCCTATGTATACTGGCTATTTCGCTGCCATGTTCCTTGGGTCCCAGTGGTTTTGGGGGGCAACGGAAATGATACTACAAAAATGGGTTGCCTGCCCCTTCAGGTCGCTTTTTTCCAGGGGCCTCTCTTTCACACCATCCGAAGCATCCCAAAAGAGGGTGACCTGTCAGATGAAGGGAGGTGTGGAATTCCAGGGAAGCTCCCCGGACTTCGGAAGACGCCAGGTTCCATTCAATCGCCGCAAGCATTTCCGGTGGCAATGGCCTGGGAGCTTCCCTGGAATCGCCTGGAGTGTAAAGACCTTGAAAGAAAGGGGATCCCTTTGTTTTCCCAACCCCAAGCCTGTTTTCGACCAGACATATCTCATTTTGCCTGGTTTTTGGGCAACCAGAAACAAGTTTCACGACAAAGTGAACGGCCGACCGCAACTGGCAGGACCGCACTCTTCCGTTGCCTCCGGGGCCCAAAGCGCACTCGCAGAGTAGTGCCTCGACCGACTTGTCGGGGCGGGAGGGGGGAGGGGGGAGGGGGAGGGATTTTCAGGTTGGGGGGATCCACGCTTGGGTTGTTCGCCCTCATCTCGATCTCGCAAAAGTTTAGACTTGTTGTCCAACCCACTCGAAAGTGAGCCTTTGCAACTTTGACAAGATCCAAAAGAAGGTCCGTCCCATCTTGAGCCAGACCGTTGTGGCTACAAATTAGGGGGGGAAACCTTCAAAATGGTCAGGTGGACACACACCGAATGTAGATGATGTCCCTCAAAAAACCCATCCCGCTTTCGCGTGTTTTTGTTTGGACACTTCGAGGCTTACCAAGTATGGGCCAAAATCTAAATCAGCCTGGGGGAGTGTGAAGGGTCTTCAGCAAGTCTTTGGCCATCCAGCGCCCGAAAGAGGTGGTTTCCATCACCAAAGTCACCATTGACGCAGACTCAGACCCCTTTGTGATGGCTGTGTTCATGATGTTGCATTTTGCCAGGTGCCTATCAAGGTTGGTGAATGGTTCTGCACAAATTGCTGGCGAATTAGTAGAGGGCTGTTTTCCTCCAAACAAATTCAGATTCCCTCCAAATTGGCGTACTCCGCCATTGATCAACCAGGTTATTCCTTCAGGGTCAACCGGATGCAACCCAGATTGATCCGGGGTCCTCAAGTGAAGATCTCCCTCTAACATCAAGCAAGTTGCAAGCCGCACGATCCCCTTTTGGGACACCAAATGAAATGGAACCTTCCATGTTTTTAATTATGCCCCTAATTGAAAACACTAAGGTAGAGAGTGGTTGATCCCCAGCACGCCCGAACAAACCCTGCGCCGCCCTGCGCTCAGGCACCATGCGCCCCTCGCGGCGACACCATGCTGCACTGCAGGCGGTTAGCAGATGGCTCAAGGGGGGGGCTGTCAATAGCTGGGTCGCTGGGTCTGTGGATCTGGACACCTCTCCGTTTCCCCCGAGGGTAGCCAAAGGGAGTCCCTTCAAAAGCCAAAAGGAAGGTAGCTGGTTGCCTGGGATGCACTAGCCCTGAACAATTAAAGGCAGGTATTGATTGTGGAGAATGGCCCCTTGTGATACTTTATCACACACCCCTTGTATCCATTGAACCTTGATTTTGTTGCGCGGTTGGGGAAAAGACCTACTCAGTGCCAGATGACTTTGGACACAGTTTGGTGCCATGCATCAATCATAGACACCGGCTACAGCACATTCTACGAAAATTTCCACAGCAAGTTGTGTAAATGCTCACCATAGAC